GTGTCCCCCTGTCCTGGCTCTCTGTAACCTCAGGTGCCCACGGCGTGGGTGGGTGACACGGCAGGACAGGGAGGGGACAGGGACAGGGACAGGGACAGCCCTGTCCCCAAAGTGTCCCCAGAGTGTCCCCAGAGTGTCCCTAAAGTGTCCCTGAAGTGTCCCCAGTGTCCCCCTGTCCTGGCTCTCTGTAACCCCAGGTGCCCACGGTGTGGGGGACAGGGACAGGGACAGGGACAGGGACAGGGACAGGGACAGGGACACCTGTGTCACCAAGGTGTCCCCAAGGTGTCCCCAAAGTGTCCCCGAAGTGTCCCCAGTGTCCCCCTGTCCTGGCTCTCTGTAACCCCAGGTGTCCACGGTGTGGGGGACAGGGACAGGGACAGGGACAGGGCCACCCTGTCCCCAAGGTGTCCCCAGAGTGTCCCCAAAGTGCCACCAAGGTGTCCCCACTGTCCCCAGTGTCCCCCAGGTGACCCTGCAGCCGCTGTCTGTCTGTCTGTCTGAGTGAGGTGTCCTTGTCCATCCCTGTCCCTGCTTGTGTCCCTGATGTCCCCAATGTCCTCCCTTTCTGTCTGTCTGTCCGCAGGTGACCCCGCGGCCGCTGTCCGTCTGTCCCCAATGTCCCCATTGTCCCCAATGTCCGTCTGTCCCAGCGGGGATTTCCTATCCATGTCCCCATGTCCGTCTGTCCGCAAGTGACCCCGCGGCCGCTGTCCGTCTGTCCCAGCGGGGTTTCTCAATGTCCGTCTGTCCCGCAGGTGACCCCGCGGCCGCTGTCCGTCTGTCCCAGCGGCTGCTGGCGCTGGGCGGGGACGCGGGGCTGCGCAGCCGCTGGACGCACATGAACGCGCTGCACTACGCCGCCTACTTCGACGTGCCCGAGCTCATCCGCACCCTGCTGCGGGCCGCCGCCCCCCGGGGTGAGTGAGGGGGGACCCCAAAACCCGGAGTGACACCCCCAAACCCGGAGTGACACCCCCAAACCCCGACTGAGCCCCCCAGATTGGGACTGAGCCCCCCAAACCCCCAGTGAGGGTCAGGGACCCCCCGAGCTCATCCGCACCCTGCTGCGGGCCGCCGCCCCCCGGGGTGAGTGAGGGGGGACCCCAAAACCCGGAGTGACACCCCCAAACCCGGAGTGACACCCCCAAACCCCGACTGAGCCCCCCAGATTGGGACTGAGCCCCCCAAACCCCCAGTGAGGGTCAGGGACCCCCCGAGCTCATCCGCACCCTGCTGCGGGCCGCCGCCCCCCGGGGTGAGTGAGGGGGGACCCCAAAACCCCGAGTGAGCCCCCAAACCCGGAGTGACACCCCCAAACCCGGACTGAGCCCCCAAACCCGGACTGAGCCCCCCAAATCCGGACTGAGCCCCCCAAACCCGGACTGAGCCCCCCAGATTGGGCCTGAGCCCCCCAAACCCGGACTGA